TGACATTGACACTGTGTGATATTTACATAATATAACCTGCCCAAATGCGGCCTGCATTAGAACAACCTTTGTTGATGTGCCTGTATTTATACAGTACTATACGCCTCAGTGTTGAACAAAACTTCACTGTGCAGTATGTTTAGTGTGTTCACAACTCCATTGGCAATTTGCATGATGCGCATACAGTGCTGATATAATTTACGCTGTGAAATACATTGTACAGTACGTTAGGCCAAAAAAAAAGTCTCCGATTTCTGTTATGGAGTTTGCCCAAAAAGTGGTGCGGCGACGCGGCTTTTTTTTTTTTTTTACCTGACTTTTTTGCTTCAAATGTCGGCTGATGACTGCAAATGGTGCCCGACTAAACTTAGTGCAAATATATGGGAGTCCAGAGAGGCCACATAAAGTTTATTCTCGATCATAACTCATCTAAAAACACGTTAAAATTGGCAGCAGCAGGATTCCAGTCAAAGCAGTGAGTTTGGCGGTTTTGAGACATCATCTTTCATTGAAAAACAAACTTATTCATTTTGCCGACGTGCATGGCTACGGCGACGCGCGCGCATACCAGAAACCGGAGACTTTTTTGGGGGCCCTTACTGTACACTATGAAATACTGCAATAAAGTACATGATTTTGGAAAATGTACACACGTACTGTAGCTACCATACCGTAGCTGTATTTTCATGCAAAAGTTTTGAACGCATTCCATAATAACTGCCCATTTACATGTATGTAGATTTGGATATTTTTTTTCTTCAATAATAAACAAAAAGAAGATAACTATGCACAAAAGTTGATGACGTCATCATTCTGTACTTGTGTCTGTAGTACAGTATGTACATTGTGACTATTTAGATGTTCGCAATATTTACTTAAAAATATTTCAATTACACAATGTGATCTTCTGGCTGATACAGCAAGAGAAGAGTACATTTAGAGTGCACCCTTAAATAAACGTTAATTGATAACAAAGGCTTCTCATTCCAGTGATAGTCAGTGATAAGCAGTCAACCAGATGTGGTCTTGGTATTCTATTCCCTGAAATTAACCCGAGATTGTAGAGTTTCTGGGAATCAACAATTTCATTAGTACTCTATTCTGAACTACATATACATGTATATTACCATACGTAGTGGCATACGTGTGGTACCGTACATCATGGGGTTTTGGGCCCTTTGATGCTAAGTGTTGTGCCAATATTTCTGTGTCAGTAAACTCTTCATTTATCTGAACCCAAAATTAATTCCCTTACATGTACAATGTACACATAAGTGCCTGCCTGGAACATACATGTACACGTGAACATGTACCGGGTACTTACAATGTACAATGTACATGTACATGTATGTGTCAATAAAAAACAATTCGGGCGATTCACAATGCAGTGCGCCTCCAAGAGTTTGCCGCGGAGAGTTCATTTTTCCTAGTGCATTGTGATAGATGGTCGACAAATTTGCAGCGCGGAACATTTGAAATTGTTATTTTTCCGGTCAGTAGTTTCGTAAGCGTATGATTCGAGTACATGTTTGCCCTTTTCTTTTTATCAATATGGTGTTTTTGTAAGCAAGGCGCTAGAACGCTATGCACCAATCTGTAACAAATTAGCACAAGTTGTAAATAACACTCGTTCAAATGGGCCTTGTTTTGTCGACCGTAAACTTGAAAAAAAAGGACTCTCCATGACAAACTCTTGGTGGCGCACTGCATTGTGGAATCTCCCGATTTATGCTACTGAAATTTTGAGTCGTTGAACATATTCTACCCTGGAAGAGGCTCAACCCTGGTCTGGACCAGGGTTGGATTTTACCCGTGTAGAGCACCAGACCCGTGTAGAAGCCGTGTTGGATTCTTGCTAGAAAGGGGTTCCTGAAATCTCCTTGTTGAACTCGGGTCCAACCATAGAGCTATATTCAATTACTAGAGCGCTAACTCTTCATTCTCGCGCGCGGAGACGCTTTGAAGCTGCTCTGGGCACAGACATTTTAAATTTATGTGCGTGTTTGTAGAACACAATCAAATAGATGGATCAAATTTAAAAGTGTACTCTAAATGCAACGTAAGTACTTACACAAACAACTTAAGCGCGTCATGACATAAAAAAAAACATCACTGCGAAAAGCATCTGCAGCGGTTTGACGCGCACACGTTGCGCTGTTTGCGTAGAGCAGAATGAAACGCTCATTTGCTGATCGTGCGTTTTGGTTTTGGGCGTATCGGCTTCGATGACGCACCGGTATGGAATACAAACGCATATAAATAGCCGTACAAAAGCCGTACAAAAATTCGAGTTTTCCATACATGTAGGTTTGTGCACAAACATGGATGCGCCCATCAGGCATTACTTTGTACATCGAGTTAACGCTCTAGTAATTTAATATAGCTCTATGGGTCCAACACAGAGATTTTGGACAGTGCGAAACGTCCTCATGAAGTCATACATGTAGTCTACATGTACATTTTTTGTGTAAGCTTGAACCCATCACACTTCTGAACAATCAAATCATCCCTACTCCTGAGTTTTCTATTCTTTCCACGGCCAGATATTCTATCGGGGCAATTCTCTGGCATCTAGCTGTTTGCCACCTTGATTGTGCCTGTCATCGTTTCCAATTTGGGCCAATCCAGGAAGAGTCCATGGCGATACTGGAATCTGAAACTTGCTGCGTAAACTGGCAGGTAGAGTCGTCAGACATGCAACCCCCACAGTGGGGGATGCGAGCCCCTGCTCTGCTGACAACTGAAACATGAGGAAGAAAAAAAAATGACACCAGAAAGAAAACAAAAACAGAGGCTGGCCATTTAACATCACAGTTTATTATGGGATAAAAATTACTGGCATTCCCTTTTGAAAATGAGTACAGTTTTTGGAAAAACCCTAACCACCCCAACCCTGCATACATTTAGGCCTACATGTACATTATACTGAAAATCCCCTGCACTGTCTGCTCCAGGTTGTAACTGGCTCTGCCTCAACATATTGACAATGGTGCTGAAGGATTTTGCAGGACTGAGGCAGTGATCACCTCTCTAAGGACCACATTCAAGAACGAACGGAGGATTTTGCAGGATTGAGGCTGTATGCAGTTTTTGGCAGTTGGATGATTTTGCAGGATTGAGGTTGTATCCTAGCAAAAATGCCTAGGTACCGTAGTTAGGGTGAACTCTAGGCCTTAGGAACCATCTTCAATCTTCCAAAATCCTCCAAAATTTTGCACTGTGTATGTGCAAATGAATGATACCCAGCACCTCAATCCTTCAAAATCGCCAGACAGTCCTGCCTCTCAAAATGCATTCATCCTCAATCCTCCAAAATCATCCTCTTCTTTAAACACCATTCATCCTCAGTCCTCCAAATTCCTCATGTTTCTCAAACACCATTCATCCTCAATCCTCCAAAATCCTCCAAACCGCCATGAGGATTTTGGAGGATTGAGGAGGGTTAGGGTAAAGGTACTAATCTAAACGTACTGGATGTGAAAACTGTTCAACAGCTGTACAGGTTGATGTTAAAGTTGGGCTGATTCTGACCAATTTTGTTAAAGTTACAAGTGACAGTCAGTGAGATGTAGACAGTCAGTCAGGGAGATACCCTAATGTGGCGCGGCCCCCCCAACGTAGCGCACTTTGATTTTTTCTCCTGTAGCGCCTACCTAGAGCAAAAGTTTTAACTGAAATTCACAGAAAGTGAAATTTCATCAAGTTCTAAACACTCCTGTTCATAAATCACGAGTTTATTTACCCGTAACAAATTTAGAAGAACAAATTATTTTGGCATGATTTTCTGATATTATTTTCAAGTGCAAAGTGAACCCTTTGAAAATGCCCCGAATAATAAGAAAATAATTTTCTGACAAACATCTGGCTGGGTATGTAAGTAGAAATAATAATTATTTATCAGAATTTATCAAGTTTACAGAAATTCTTAAATGTTAATTTGGAATTTTCCGAGATTTATTCAAGTGCGCCATGTTAGGGAACACTCCGCCAATTTGTGCCCAATTTCCGGACGCCACCGTTTTTGAATTTCGGATTAAATTTTATGAAACTGAAATTGT